TTTCTTTAAAAATGTTAATTATTTAAAGGCTTGAAAATCCTTTTCTATAATTTATACGGATCCTTAGGGCTGTATTTTTCCAGCTTTGATCCTTTGTCTACTAGAATTAATAGATGATTTTTTTATCCCTCTTAGAAGGGACATATTAGAGATGTAGCTGCCAAACTTTGTTCCCTATTGAATCTGGATCTCATCCTTTGGAGGGATGTATACCTTTCCAAACCATTCTTACTGTAGTATGTGATTAAGGTGGTCAGAGAGGCAGTGTGATACAGTGGAGGAAAGGTTAGAGGGTTCTCCTTGATCTAGTCTTGGCCTCTGCTATTATTTGTGTGACATTCCAATAATTTTGCTATTCTTTGTTTCAGTTTCGTCATCTACAAAATATGGTCAGACCAGATGATCTCTAAGTTCCTTCTGAAATCGAAAATATTGTGATTCTAGAACAAAGGAAGGCATTACTTTTATGGGAGAATTTCCTATATGCCTTAATTTCTAGGATTTTCTCCCTTCCTAAAGAAATATTGCTGTATATACTATCTGAAAGGTCATAGAAAGGATTTCAGATTACAAATTGGGGAGAAGCATTGAGATGTTTCCGGCCTTATCTCAAATATTGTGAGATAGCATGTAAAACAAGTTTTCTAGATCCCATGTTAATTAAAAGGTAGTGGTATTACCCAAGCAGTGGGAAAAAAAAGGTCTAAAATCAGAGCCCCTAAATCTTTTTATTAGAGAAGAAACTGGCTGAAATTTCCATTATGTGCTAATGTGCAGGATGACCACACCCCAGAAGGATTAAAGCCATTTGTCATTGCCATTGAATCAAGGACCTTTGGAGCTTTGAATAGATGGAGCAAATGCCGTTCCAACAATGAGGACTCTTCTAGTTTTCTTGAGGCAGCATGGAGTAGTAGATTGAATGCTGAAGCTAGGGTCAGGGAAGCCTAGGTTCACATGCAGCCATGGACACTAACCAATTGAGTTGGGCCAAGTTGCATCCTTTCTAAGCCTCAGTGTTCTTATTGATAAAATAGGAATAATGATTCCAGAAGAACCAACCTTACAGGGTTGTTGTGAGGTTGAAATAAGATAATGTATGGAGAGTGCTTACAAACAAACCTTAGTATACGCTGCAAGTGTCAAATCTTGTTACCAGTACTACAACTACTGTTATTATTTACTACTACTACTACTGCTATTACTACTACTACTACTACTACTATTACTACTACTACTACTACTACTACTACTATTACTACTACTACTACTACTATTACTACCACTACTACTACTACTACTGCTGCTGCTGCTGCTAAAGATGCTGATGGTACCTGGGGCTTTAAACTGGATTACTGCATGGACTAGTTAGCTTTGCCTCTCTCTACAGCCACCTGGTGGAACCCTATCTTTGGCCAAATATCTCATTCATTCTAGCCTCTGTGAAAAAGATGGATGGGATGAGAGACTATAGATTGTCATTGCCTGCACATACCCTAGGACTAGAAGCAATCCTCAATCGTCATCTTTCTTCTTTCTCCTCCTCTTGATAACATCATCATTCTGCTTCTGATCCTCCTTCCTATTAGCTGTGTGACCCTGGGTTTAACCCTGTTTGCCTCAGTTTTCCCATCTATAAAATGAGCTGGAGAAAGGAAATAGCAAACCACTTCAGTATCTTTGCCATGAAAACCCCAAATGAGGTCACAAAGAGTTGTACGTGACTGAAACAACTGAACAACAACAACAAATAATACCTATATATTTGGGATATTATTAAGTATTCCTGTCACCTTCAGGCCCAAATCCCTTTCCATAAGCTTTTCCATCTTACCTGGAATGGCAGTATCATTGCACTGTATAAATGAATTTTTTTAAGCTGAACACATTTCCCAAAAGAAAGGAAGAGATTTTTTTTTGTCATTTTGAATGAATATTTTTCTTTTAAATATCGCTAAAACAAAGAATGCAGCATTGAGTCCCTAGTTAAAATGGATACCAGTGCAGCCCCAGGGCTAATGGTGTGATAACTTTTGCTGTAAAGAAATATGGGACTACTTGATCTTAAGTGTTTTACATTCAGAGAAGATGGAATTTACTTTTAATAATACTTTAAATTTATGAAGTGCTTTTCTTTTTAGGAATGAAAAGAACTGCTTGTATTTTCTTTTACTCTCATATTATCCTTGCAAGAATTCAATAGTTTAATTTAACAAAAATATATTCAACTCCTGTTGTGTGCAACAACTCTTAGGAAGCTTACCTTTTATTTGAGGAATATAGTATACAGACAAATAAGCATTATCCAAAGGGAGAGACAAAGAGAAATAGAGAGAGACAAACACAGAGACAGAGAGAGAGAGAGAGAGAGAGAGAAAGAGAAACAAAGAAAGACAGAGACAGAGAGACAGAGACACAAACACAGAGATACAGAGACACATGTCCACAGACAGACACAAAGAGACAGACAGACACACAGAGACAGAGACAGAGAGAGACAGACAGAGAGAGAAAGAGAGACAGAGACAGAGAGACAGACAGACAGAGGCAGAGGCAGAGGCAGAAACAGAGATAGGCAGAGGCAGAGACAGAGATCAGCAGAGAGACAGAGACAGAGCCAGAGGTAGAGAGAGAGACAGACAGACAGGTAGAAACAGTAGAGAGATCAGGAAAACCCTTGATAAGTGGTGGTGCCTGAGGTGAGATTAGGGATTCTAAGAGGCAGAAATGAGGAGTGAGTGTGTTCCAGGCAAGGCGAGCAGTCTGCACAAAGACATGGAAGTGGCAGCAGACAGGATGCATCTGCAAAATGAGAATATTTTGTGCTAAGTAACCTCTAAAGTACCTTCTATGATCCATCCTGTGGCCCTATGCAAAGTTTGGGAAACAGCCCAGTTTCACTGGAGTCTAACACTTCAATTTAACAAACATACATTAAGCTCTATTGTATGCAAAGGATTGTACTATGGGGAATAATGTAAAATTAATATGGAAATACATGTTGGAATGAGATTATGGACGTCTTTAAATTCCAGGTTTAGGCATTTAATCCTTGAAGTAAAAGAGAGCCGTGAAGATTATTGAGTACAGTCAAACATATGCCATAGGCAAATGTATTACTCTGGATGCTCCGTGTAGTATGGATTGGAAAGGAGAGAGCCTGGAGGGAAGGAGAATATCCCAGTGGAGGGATGCAAGGCACAGATCAATTAAAGCACCTTCCCCATTCCTTTCATCCCAACTTCTTGTGTTTTCATTGTAGCTTTGCTGCAATCACTGTTGGGTCTGAGAAGGGCTTTTTCTTAAGGACTGAAAAATACGAATACTCGATGACAAAACAAAAAAATTAAGTGACATGTAATTGAGTTTAGTGATCAGATTTATAGAAGCAATATTTTTATTAGAAAATATTCAAAATTGTTTGTAAAAATGTTGCCCAAGAAGTGTCCCAGAGTGATGTGATTCATTTGGGTCTTTTATACTCTTGTGACAAATAGGGCTTTGTGTAAAGTTCTAAAAAGTTCTAGACATTATGTCATACTGCAGGGTTTAATACTGCAGTTACAATTTAGGAACAGAGTGTTTATCAAACAGAGAAAAAAACAAATCAAATTTATACTTTGTCACGTTAAATCAGAATAGTCAGCATCATACAACTTCAAGGACTTCCAGGGTGAAGTAAATATATTTCAAACAGGAACAAATTAGACAATAATAGTTTTATGAGAAGAAACTAAATTCTACTTCATTGCGTATATTAAAATGTCATTATCGTCTGATACAGTGAATGCTAGAATTAGTACTTAAGCTATTTTGTTTTGATTCCCAAGTAGTAATTTATACATCTCAAAAACTAGAGATTTTTTGTTAAGGCTTATTTATGCATTACTTAGTTTTAGCTATAAATTTGTGACCCCAATATTTTGATTTCTCAATTCACCCATTAATGTCTTTTGGCCCAACATGTGTCTTAAATGTCAGTATACATGAAATATTATTTCCCTTTCTTCAAATTCTTTCATTTTCAACATTTCAGGATAAGTATTAAAGCCTTCTTTTCTCTTCTGTTCTAGGTTAAAAACTTTTTGATGCTTGAGTTAAAGTATCTACCAAGCAGTATTCATTACGCAATTATAATTATCACACAAATATTGAAAAGTACAATAATTAGTATTAAAAGTCCATATATGATAATAGAAACAAGGGATCCAAAATAGAACAATGCCATTGGTATACTGTATCAAGTTCCATTGATTATCTTCACGGAGTTTTGACTGTCATCTGATATGAGTAGTTGAACATGAGTGTGTTCAAATACAACAGGAACATAAGTACAACATTTTGTTTTTCTGATAAGAGCGCATATACTTCCTTTAGCAGCTAGTACAAAATCCACAGCTATTCAATTCTGCTTTGAATATCGACCATTTCTTCAATTATTTCAGTAGGAAAACTATCATTGCTCACTTGTTCTTGAACTCTTTGATGGAAGTTTTATTTTTTCTAAAAGCTCTAGCAACTTCCTAAGTTGGGAATAATATGACAGTAAATTTCCATTTTTGGAAATAGATTTCACGATGAGAAACTTGTCTCATAGCAGGGGTTACGTACTATGCACAACATGATCCTGGCCAGTTTGCTGGTAAAAGGACAAATATAAATACAACATATAATTATACGTACCATTAAGGATTAAAATAGTATTGGTAACTGTTGAGAATAATTTAAAATATAGACAGATAAATTCTTTGATGAATGAAAATGAAAGCTAGTTATAATATAGTCAAAATATATATAGCTGATCATAATGCTAACATTTACATATCTCTTTACACATATTACCTCATTTGATTCCCACTCTAACCTTGTGAAGGAGGTGCTATGATTATCTTCATTTTACCCATGAGGAAACTGAAACCAAGAGAAGTCAAATGACTAGGCCAGGGTCACACAACTAGTAAGTGCTTTAGGCAAGATTCAAATTCAGATCTGTCTGATTCTTAATCCAGTGCTCTGTTCACCATGCCAACTGGCTACCTTTGTGACCTAGTAAAATTGACCCTCTTTTAGACAATATGCTAAATCCAATAGTCTGTTCAGTTAGAGACAGCTGCAGATAAGGGCCATTGATGGCATTATTTGATGATATAGAATAATACTCATCTTTAAACCTTCTATTCTCTCACTCAGAGGAATTTAAACATGCATTTAAAAAAAATTAAAGCAGAAATTTAAACATGTCTGTTCATAGTTAATTCTTATAGCAAGCAAAAACACTTGTGTCTGTGATTATCTGTAGAATAGCTATCAATGTGAAACCTTCTCCCATGTTGTCAGGAATAAGAGTATGTGCCTAGTATTTAGAAACTTCTAGTTTTTAGTCTTTAGGAAGCTTGTGTGATGTGTATAGGAAGGCTTGTTATATGCCCTTAGGACGGATGATGACCTTTTTGCCTGGAACAGCAAGTTGGTCTGGTTCTGAGATTTTTTATCTTCTAATTCTGATGAATAACAAAAAATAATCAAGAGGAGTCCACTAAAAAACAGCCACAGAATGATAAGCCATGTCCATTTTGGGAGCCAAATGCTAGATGCAGACGTGGCTTCTTGGCTGGAAGGCATAGCAGGAATTCTGTGGCAAATCTGGTGGGCAGTTGCATCACCTCTGTATGTATATTACCCTGCTGACTGGCACTTGGCTCACCATTCATTGATGGGAATGTTTCTGATGAAGCAGGTAGTGCTCATCCAAAGTCTTGTGGCGTGGTTGTTGTCTTACAATATGAAATATAGATCCAAATGTGAGGGTCTTTATTGCAGTAAGTAGAACTTGATATGGGTTCTTCCACGGAGGTTTCAAGCAGACTTTCTATTGATACATCTTCATATAAACCTAGTCCCCAGGCTGGATAAAGGTACCGCTACTCTTGTGGGTCTCTAGGCAACATAGCTTATATCTGCGCATAGAAAACTTTAACACATTTCATTAATGCTTTTCAAAAATTTAAAAATAATATCATGACTTAATTTTAAATTAGATCATTGAGCTGATACAGGGAATGATATAGGAAATCTCATAGACCTAGCCATTAATATTGCAATCTGTCCTATAAAATGAATGCATTTCATTCTATTGATAAAGGGATACCAAATCTAGGAACAAATTTTTTAAAGGCCTTTAGTAACTGTAATAACACCTATCTTCTTACGAGGAAAAGTCTCAATTCATCCCAAATGTAAACATACAATTACAAGTATATGTATATCAAGGATAACATTCTGAAAATTGAATAAAATTATTCTGCATATTTATATAAGATTTCCATGGTGGTGCATGAGCTGCTTATTTTACTGTAGGCTTCCCAATGTTATGTGTCTGGCAGGGGAATTTGAATAGTGTTGTTGGGTGATAGAACAAAAACCAAGCAAAGCAATTTCTTCTGAACTCATTTCTTATTCTATGCACCCCTGCTGCCTTTGCTTATTTGTACCAGTCCATGATACTTCAGTCAGTTAGTGGGCTAGCATTTATTAAGCATTAATTATCTTCCAGGCACTGGGCTAATAAGCAAAATAAGGGAATCAAACCAAGTAGACAGCTTGAGAATAACATGATTGGCTTGAGTGCACACATATACGCCCTGCAAAGATTCAAGTTCTATCTTTCTCTGGTTCCAGCGTCTGATTTTAGAGGAGAGCAACATTCTTGAGATGTTACAGAATGATGAATAGGAAGGGAAACAAACATAGCAACAGATCAGGGCGTTGAAAGGGTGGAAACCATCTCAGGCAGCCGAATCTGCTAAGACATGTCCAAGTGGGACATCATCATAAGGTTTCTGAAGAGTAGTACATTTAGTGATAGTCATAGCAGGAGGGAGTTGTAATGCATCAAGGAGAGCTATTACTTAAATGGGATTTCTGGAGCATCTCCTGGTGCGAAAAAACCTTTTCTTTGAAAGTTGTCCCAAATCGTATATAACAGTAAATATATGTCTAGAATCAGTGTAAATGGCAATAGATTTGCCATTTTCCAATATACAGGTTCTAGTTAAGGCAATAAATTATGCAGCTGGAGCTGTCAATGTAGACAGTAAATAATCGCTTTCAGTTATTTCATGTTGAGGATGCTGACTATATCTAGGAATAAGGCAACCTTGGAGTTTCTTAAGGAAGGCCCATTGGAATAAGATATTAAATCAGGGCTGTGGGAAAGGAGGAGTATTTATTAAGTTCCTACTATGTTCTAGAGCACGGGTGGGGAACCTGCGACCTTGAGGCTATATGTGGCCTCTAGGTCCTTGGGTGCAGCCTTTTGATTGAGTCCAAGTTTTACAGAACAAATCCTTTTGTTAAAGGGATAAGGGGATTTGTTCTGTGAAGTTTGGATTCAGTCAAAGAGCCCTACTTGAGGACCTACAGGGCCACATATGGCCTTGAGGCTGCAGGTTCCCCACCCTTGTTCTAGATACTTTATTTAAGCTCTTCACAAATATTGTCTTATTTGATATCCTCACAACAACCTTGGGAACTAGGTGCTATTATTATCCTTATTTTCAGTTGAGGAAATAGAGAAATAGAGGTTAAGTGATTTGCCCAAGCTTATGTAGCTAGGCTGGATTTGTACTTAGGTCTTCTTTACTCCAGGGCCAGTGCTCTATCCCTTGTTCCATATAGCCATCTAGGTTTTGTGGAGAGGTATGGGAAGAAGAAAAAGTACAGATGGAGGAAGAAATGACACATATCACACACACACACACACACACACACACACACACACACACACACACACACGTATAAAATGAGAATTGAAAACACCTGGAATATCAGGACAAGGCCAATCCTTTTTTATAATGCCCATCATTTCCACAACAAAAACAAATGATTCTGTTACTTTCATCTAAGACAAGACTTTGAGCACTGCCAAGTTCCCTTCTCTATTTTCTCAGGTTACTTGGTTTGGCTACAAAGTTGAAAAATTTGAAAATGTAAAAGGTTTGTTTCAAAACGATCTTTTCTACTTTCTTGGAGAGCTACATAGTGATTAGCTCTCTGACAAAAATTTGGTCTATCAAAACAAATAGGTTTCAAGAAGGCTTGAATCTTTGACCAAAAGAAGAAAAGCCTTGGACAAAACCAGTTAAAATTGCTTCTGAAACAACATCTGTTGGATGATCAGTATTAGAATTTATTTTAAAAATTCTTTTTAAGTGATTCATGAAATCTGGAGGATTTTCATTTTTATCCTGTTTATAATTATTTATGTTTGCCCAATCCGTATGTCTTAGGCAATCTTTTAGAATTGCCTCAAGGATTTGTCGTTGAGCAACAAGAATCCAGTCACCATTTTCTGTCTGAATTAGGACACTGAGCTTCTAAACTTAAATGAAATAACACTTCTGGAAGCAAAACTCTTCCTAAAAGTTGATTTGTCAGACCAAGTTGGATTATGGCAATTGGTATTAACTCATAGCTCCTCTCTTAATTTCAAAGGATCCTCTTTGATGTAAGAAATTATTTTGCTAAAGGTTTAAGATCTCCAGGAGTCCAGGAAATGCAGATGGTAATAAAATGTTCTCCATTTCCCCCTTGCCCAGGAAGCTGCCTTAAAGGAGTTTAGAGCTTACGTTGAGGTTACAATTGGACCTGAGGCTGAAGTAGGAGCAGAAGCTGGAGGGAGATTAGGGGTGAAAGTTGAAACTGGTATGGAGCTGCTAAGGTTGTAGTGAATGCTCCTTCTGTTCTATCTTCTTCCTAAGGTTTGAGGGTGGGAGAACTGGATAAAGATGAGAAATTAGCATGTTGTTATGAATATTTTGAGAAATAGGACCAAACAATCATCTAGTAGGGTAGGAGCGCTTAACCTTTTGTGTGTTATGGACCCACTTGGCAGTCTGGTGAAACCTTTGGACCCTTCTAAAGTCACATTAAGTCAAGTCAACCAGCACTTATTAAAATCCTTCTATGTGCCAGGCACCATGCTAAGTATTGGGGATGCAAAGAAAGGCAAAAATCAGTCTCTCTCTTCTCAAAGCATTCACAATATAATGGGGGAGACAACATATAAAAAACTATTTACAAAGAAGACATAGATAGGAAAAATTAGATAATCAACAGAAAGAATTCACTAAGATAAAGGTTTATCTTGGACTTGAAGCAATCTAGAAAAGCCAGGAGATAGAGATGAAGTGGGAGGAAATTCCAGACATAGAAGACAGCCAGTGAAAATGCAAGAGTCAGGAGATAGAGTGTTATGTGTGAAGAAAAGCAAGGAGGCCAATGTTACTGAATCACAGAGTATGTAGAGGGAACTAAGGTGTACAAAGATTGGAAAAGTAGGAAGGGAATAGATTATGAAAGGCTTTTAATGCTAAGCAGAACATTTTCTATTTGACGCTGGAGATAAAGGGGAGGCATTGAAACTTATTGAATGAATATTTATTGAGTGACATGGTCAGACCTACACTTTAGGAGGATCAGTTTGACAGTGGAATGGAGGATGGAGAAGAGTAGCGACAGACTTGAATCAGGGAGACTAATCAGAAGGCTACTGCAATAGTTCAAGCATGAGAACTGAAAACCTGACATAGGCGGTGGCAGTGTCAGAGGAGAAAAGGGAGACAGAGTATTGTCATAAAGGCAGAATCAACAGTACTTGGAAACAGATAGGATAAGGGGGCTGAGAGATGATGAAGAGGAAGACACTTAATCTGCAAGCCTGGGTGACTGGGAGAATGTGGGGCCCTTGACAGTAATAGGGAAGTTAAGAAGAGGGAAGGTTTTTTTTTCTTTTTCCTTTGTTTTTTCTTTTTTTCTTTTTCTTTTTTTTTTTGAGGGAAGATTTTTTGAAAAAGAAGATGAGAGTGGGGCAGCTAGGTGGCGTAGTGGATAGAGCTCCGGCCTTGGAGTCAGAAAGACCTGAGTTCAAATCTTACCTCAGACACTTGTGTGACCCTGGGCAAGTCACTTAACCCCAACTGCCTCACCAAAAAGCAAAAAAAAAAGAGGATGAGAATTCTTGCAATAATAGTTTAAATGCATAAGGTAAAATACATAAGATTGAAAAGAAACCAATGATATTGAAATATAGTTTATATATATATATATATGGATGTGTATATATGCAAATGTTTTGTATATATACTATACATATATAAATGTTCTATATTACTGTACATATATAAATACAAGTATAAATACACACCTACATGCATATGTATTTGTATGATATGCACAGCTATATGTGTATATGTGTATATATGTGTATATTCATACATAAACATTCATACATATATAAACATACACATACACACATATTTTATATATATATATATATATATATATATATATATATATATATATATATATATATATATATATATATATATATATATATATATCAGGGATGCTAGCTTAAGAACTCCTACTTTCTGGATGATCCTGTTTGAGAAGATGAAGAAACAGGAACAAGATTTTCTATAGTAGTGTCTATTTTAGAGACATGGACTGGTTTTTAATAAAGTGGTAGAACTTTTACAGTATTACTGAAATAATCAAATGCCTTGAAGATTACTCTTTAATACAATTTAGGTAAATGTAGCTATTTAACTAGATATTTGTTTAGAATCTTCAGTATTTTTCTGTGATTGTAAAGCCCCAATTTGATCTTTCAATTTATCCCAAAGAAACTGTGTCCTTTTTGTCTTCAGTAATTTCCTCATGCTAAGCTCCCCATTGACCATCTTGAATCTTAGAACCTTGAGAATAAAATGGTCTTTTCAAATAACTGATTTTCTCTAAATGAAATTTCAACAACCCTGCCTTCACCACTGTTTAAAACAGAGGTGGGTAACCTGTGGCCTGGAGACCACATGTGGCCCTTTAGGTCCTCAAGTTTGGCTCTTTGAATCCAAACTTCACAGAAAAAATCCTCTTAATAAAAGGATTTGTTCTGTAAAACTTTTGTCAAAAGGCCACACCCAAGGACCTAGAAGGCCACATGTGGCCTCCAGGCTGCAGGCCCCACCCCTGGTTTAGAATTATCATCACAGATAAGAGATTTTTACTTTTTCAAAAACTGGCAAGCCTTTGGATTCATTCTTGGTATTTTTATATAAATTAGGCTGGAGTACCTTTTTTTTTTTCCTGGGACCAGCAAAACCACAGAAACTCTGATATCCAATTCAGTTTTTCATTTATGTGAGCTTACATACAGAAAGTAAAGAAATAGAAATTTATGGTAGACACGTAGTTTGCCTGAAGTAATGTGAGAAAGATCACAGGATTTAGTTTCAAGAAAGGAAATTGGAATAGAACTTCATTTTTAACCCAGAAGCAAGTATCCTTCTCTCCCAAATGTAAGGACGTGGGGAAAAAGAAAAATCTCATACCTTTTGGATCATGAGCTTCTCCCAGTGTCCTTTGTATTTTGATGTAATGATAACAGCACTTAAGGGTAGTTGGCATTAGTCCGAGTCTTAGAGATGGTTGATGGGTTTATATTTCTAAAGGGAAGGATATCAGAAGAGTGCATTTCAGGGATGACACATTCATTCCCATAGTGGGAAGGGTAAATTGTTCATAATTCTATACATATATATTTATAATTCATATAGTAACTTTGATTCACACAGGGTGAAAAAACACCTGGAACTGTCAGGAAAGTAATTTGTTCAAGGCTGGTGATAGATAAGGCCACTGGGGAGGAAAGATACCTACTAACTGACTTAGTGAAGACCACAATTCAGCTGGGAAAGGAGAAGGAGAAGGGAACAAGCATTTATCAAGTGCCTACTATACCAGGTGCCATGCTAAATATTTTTAAAAATATTATCTCATTTGTTGAAATGACTCCATCTATAAAAAAGCTAGATTAATCTCAATATCTTGCTATAATAAAACACTTTCAACTACTCATTTTTAACATGGAATCCATCTTGATATATACAAAATGGATCTGGCACAAGTCTGAGCAAATATGGACAGAAATAATTTCTCACCAAAAAACACCATAGAGATTTAAAGCCGGTTTTCTTACCTCTGGAATTGGGCCTTGGAGGTTCAGTGAAAAAAAAAACTCTGTTCCATCCTCTACTGGAAATTGATTGGAATCAAAGTTACTATACTGTTGAGGCAAATAAACAAAGTCACTAGGTGTTATATTTAGTGATCCTATATATTAGAAAAAAAATATTGTTATTGGAAAATATTCAAACAGCTATTTGGAGGATAGTTGCCTGACAGAGATCTTTCTCTATCGACCAAGTATCCCAGGTTGACGCAATTAATATGTGCTTTATATAGTATTGTGAAAATCCTCATGAAACGTTCTAAAAGTTACTTCACACTAGAGTTTTACACTAAAGTTGCAATTTGGGAACAGTGTTTATTGAACAGAAAGGAAATAAATCAAAGTTACATTTTGTTATGTTAAATCATAACAACATCCCACAGATTCATGGATTTCTGGGCTGAAGAAGAGATATTGAAAATTACAAAGTTTCAAACAACAGTAATCCTGTGAGAATAAACTATGTTTTGCCTTATCATGAATATAAAAAATGTTAGTATCTTCTGGTGTTTTATAGAGTAAGCTAGAATTTGCATGGAGGTCATTTTGTTCTGATTTTCAACTAGTTACTTGTAAGTTTTTGTTGTTCAGTTGTTTTCCACTCATGTCCAACTCTTTGTGATCCCATTTGGGATTTTCTTGGCAAAGATACTGGAGTGGTTTGCCATTTCCCTCTCCAGTTCATTTTCTGGATAAGGAACTGAGGCAAATAGCATTAAGTGACTTGCCCAGGGTCACACAGTTAGTAAGTGTATGTGGCCAGATTAGAATTCAGGAAGATGAGCCTAGCACTCTATCCATTGTGCCACCTAGCTGCCCATGCTTATAAATTTAGAGGTCTATTAAATTTCTAATTAAGTCTTATGAATTATTTAATTTTAATTCACTTATAATTTTTATATCTTAATATTTTACTTACGTGCAGGGAATATGACAAATAACATTGTAAGATAGTTTTGCATGATTTCACATATAGAACCTATATCAGATTGCTTACCATCTCAGGGAGGGGGGAGGGCCAGGAGAGAGGGATATAATTTAATTTTAGGTGCCACATTTTAGGAAAGACATAGATAAGTTAGAGCTTGTCCTGAAAAGGAGAAACTGGATAGAGAATGGACAGAAACATGTCATGTCTATGCCTCCAAATAACATAGGCTTCTGGAAGATTGATTACTATTTCTTTGGCTCTTAACTCCAAAGAGGTGATGATCCAGAGAGATCAACATGTTCCCTAGAGTGTTTGAAAAAGGAACTGAATTATGTTGAATTTTAGTCCATAGGAGAACTTGATGTACACATGCTTCAAATTATTGCACTAAAGATGGAGGCAGTTAGCAGGAACTGAGGGTCACCTAACAGTTCAGAAAAAGAAGCCAAGGCCTCAATCAGCAACAGAAGCACTGATAGCTCACACTTACATTGTGCCTTAAGGGTGGCAAAACAGTTTCCATATATTATCTTATCATATCCTCCCATCATTTCTGTAAAATAGATGCTACTATGAATCCCATTTTACATATGAGAAAATTAAGGCTGAGGGAGGTTAAGTGAATTGTCCAGAGTGATATAGAAAGCAAATATTTAAGAAAGGATTCAAACTCAGGTCTTCCTGACTCTAAGGTCTACACTATATCTTCTGTGTCACCTAGCTGCAAAATAACAGGGGAAAAAGAAAAAAAAACTGTATTATTATGGATCATAGATTTTGGGTTGGAAGGGACATCAGAGGTGATCTAGTCTAGCCCCTCCATTTTACGAGAAAAACCAAAGTCTAGAGAAATTAAATGGCTTGCCTAAGGTCACGTAGGTAGTAAGTAAAAGAAGCAGGATTTGAACCCTGGTCTTTGAACTTCCAATCTAGTCTTTTTTGCTCTTTATCACTCTGCCTTCTAGAAATGTCTGTTTGAAAGAAAAAAAAAGATAGACTGATCTCATAGTGAGAGCAAGGGATAACTCGTGTTATACTTATCAATCCGATGTCAAGAGAGTGAGGAGAAGCTCTGAGAATGTTGGGTAGACCTCTCAGGTTGGCTTTATGGGATGATGTGGACAAAAACCACACAGGAGGGGCTGGTGTGCTTGGGTGCAATATCTGAGTCATTGGAGGAAGTACGTGTATTGTTGAGATCACAGAACATGGAAGTTCTGAGTGTCTCCTGCTTTTGAGGAGCTACACATGACTCAGAAAGACATTCTCATTCAGTCCATGTTGGTACAGGACTAGATCACAGACTCCATGGAGGGATGAAAACAGAGTTCCATATGGTGGGGTTGGGTAGATTTTAAAGTATTATTTATTTAATGTATGTTTCCAAGTCTGTCTTAAGCTAGGTCCTTCTTGCTACAGTTTGAGTCTTCCTATCCATGCTCTGCTTTCTAGGAGAAAGTGTTCTCTTAGAAAAGGACAGTGTCTTGTTCCAGAGCCAGATGGAAATTCTAGGGAGAGAGTTTTTGGCTTAACCTAAGAAAATCTATTTAATAATTTAAACAGTACAAAATGGAACAAGCTGCTGTTGGGATACTGAGCTCCCTGTAATGGAGCTATTCAAACAGAACTTCTCTGTTCACCTGTCAGGCATCCTGTGCAAGTGATTTCTGCGCTGGGTGAGAGGCTGAACTATACGATGTTTTCCCTAGATTCTAAATCTGAGGGTAAAGAACATTTTCCCACACTTATTACACATCATACCCTTTCACAAAAACTGGCTCAGCAGCTGTTTCCCTTCCACAACATTCTACTTTCCATCTCTGTGCCCCCTGCCTGGTATGTTCTTCTTTCTCACTTCCACCTCAGCATCTCTAGTTTTCTTCACAGCAAGCTCAAAAGACACTTCTCCATACGTGAAGCCTTTCCTGACTCTCCCCTCCCCCCAGGCTATTAGTGTTTCTTCCTAGCATTTGGCATGGTACCAGTTGCATAGTAGGTGTTCTTTGAATTAATTTGAATTGAAGTATATGCTTTTTCATTCTCCACAGTGCCTAGCACAGTGATGTGGGCCTAGTAGGCATTCTATAAATACTAATTTTTTTAAAAAAAAGTAATATTTTACTTTCCTCTCAATTGCATGCAAAAACAATTTTTAACATTTTTTTGGATAGAGTTTTGAGCTCTAAATTATATCCCTCTCTCCCTGCCCTCCCCCCTCCCTGAGATGGTAAGCAATCTGATATAGGTTCTATATGTGAAATCATGCAAAACTATCCTAAATACTTATTGATTGACTGAGTGGATGAGAAGTTAAAATTATGTATTAAAGGTCTGGTTCTCTCATGCACTGATAAGCTTGAATTATATAGACACTTGTGAGAAAACTGACAAAATCAATGTAAAAAGGGGTCTATGCCGAGAATACTGGATGATGAGTCAGGTTTACCTCCTCAATCCATAGCTGCAAGGAGGAGAGAGGCTGCTTGAATATTTCTTTTCTGTTTTTCATTTGCTGGAATTAAGCTATTTGTTGTATGGCTCTAAGGATGTAGGTGGATGACTTCAAACTAAGGCAGCTCCTCAATAGTGATATCAGATCTAGAGATACTTTTGTCACAGCATATAGGAGCTATCAGGACCTTGGATTTGCTTTTAATTAACAATTTAAAAAAACTGCAGCTTTGGAACTTTAATGTATGCATAATCTTCCCTAACTGAATTTATGAAAATGTATTAGGATTGTAGGCATTTGAAGAGCTTCAGGGAACATGTTAGAATTCAGTTTCCAGCAATGTGCATATGGAGAAAAGTACCCTGTCTGCACGTTTATTTCCCCTTTAACTCATGAACTGTATCTTAAACTTAGTTTGGTCCCTGGAGGGCCAGGAATTTGGTGCATTGTGTGTATGCAAGTGTAATTTAATTTTGGAGAGATGTAAATCAATGAGGGGGAAAGGTATAATATTTGCTGCAGAGTACTGCTCCTGCTAATAAAAAGCTGATTCCTGAATATGTTTACAATGGCTATTTCTTTCCTATGGCCTATTTTATGAAGCCCATGTCCTTGAGCTTATATGAGAAAACAAAATGAAAGAAAAAAATATGCTATTTGTCAATATATAATTTATCAACATAACTTGGGGTCAGCAAAATCCTACGAAATGACACTTCTCTGAGTTAGAATTGCTTGGCTTAGTTGTCTCTCTGGGTAACTCTGGCTATCTCTCCATCCCCTACTCCATGTCAGATTGGTGCTACCATTCAAGCCTGAGGGCCAAGAGCAGTGTCTGTTAGTAGCAGGAAGAAAGAAAGGGCCTCATAGACACTCAGCAGTTCTGAAGAGTCAGCTGAAGCGTATGTGAACTGACAGTTCTTTTTTCTTTCAACTATTCATGTAACAAAGTGACACTGTTTTACAATTTGGACTCAGCACAAATTTAGAAAGCAGTGCCTCCTTTGCCCACTCTCTGATTAATCTTAATTTCTGGAATCTGACTGTATTTGGAAAAGGAGTCAAGGCCTAGAAAAGCAGTTCAAGTTCAATGCTTTTTTGACATTTTCTAGGGAAGATAAATCCACTTTTCCTTTCTTTCCTTCTTTTTCTTTCTTTCTTTCTTTCTTTCTTTCTTTCTTTCTTTCTTTCTTTCTTTCTTTCTTTCTTTCTTTCTCTCTCTCTCTTTCTCTCCCTCCCTCCCTCTCTCTCTCTCTCTCTCTCTCTCCTCTCTCTCTCTCTCTCTCCTCTCTCTCCCTCCCTCCCTCCCTCTCTCTCTTCCTTCCTTCCTTCCTTCCTTCCTTCCTTTCTTTTTCTTTCTTTCTTTCTTTCTTTCTTTCTTTCTTTCTTTCTTTCTTTCTTTCTTTCTTTGTGAGATAGAGAGAGAGAGAGAGAGAGAGAGAAGAGAGAGAAAGAGAGAAAGAGCTTATTTATTTTATGACATGAAGCAGCTTCCCCCTTCTCCCCTCCAAACTACAAAACTCATAGAATTATAGAATTTAGGGGCTAGAAAGGGTTTTTTGGACTCCATGACCTCTGCCTATTTTGGTATAAGAAGTATGTTTCCAGACCCATCCGGGAAAACCATTATAAGCAAAGATAATAAGTATACTATTAAGCAATTATTCTGTTCCTCTGGAGAAATAGCAGTGCTGCATAGAGCCTCTGCAGTGATTTTTTGATAGCTTGCTTTAGTGAGCAGGAGGGCTGGGGAAGAGGAAAACCAGCTAAAAACTGCCAGAGATGGCCTTTTCAAAAGATCTTGGAAGGGATGATAGATTTAGGTCTG